TTCCTGCTGTCCAGACCACCCCACCAGCACCCAGCACATCTCCCTTTCCTTCCCTGCATCCTGCCTTGCCGCCCTACTCTAGCCCTCAAACCGCCCATTAAATCCCTTCCCTCCGACCATACAGCCACCAATCCTTCCCCTTCCCTTTACCGCTTCTCCGGGGGCACCACTATTCTCAGATCTTCTTACCTGGTGCTAGCCGAAGATTAGTGTCTATTGAACTTTTCCTTTCAGTTGACTCTTGTTTGTAACTCTAACTAGTTGGGTAATAAAATTTGATTTTGTTTTCGCTGATTTCTGAATTATTTTCAATGTCATATAGTCTCTGCTATTGGTACAGAAATCCGCTCCATTTTCTTAACGTTGTTTGCATCCTTTCTTGAGGCATATTATTCTTTGGATTTTCAAATCTACATCTTTAGGCTAGATTGCTCAAACTTTTTTTTTTGTGCGTTACTGAAAGGTGCCACTCCGCAGGCATTTCTGTACGTTTCTACACATTAAGCAGCGACATCTTACTTTTCTTAGTATTGATTATTTCTATCTTTAGAAGCTTATTATTTTATACTGTTATTTTGTAAGGCGGACAGGTCCAAGGTTAGGCTGATTTTAAATCTGATGCCCTATAAATTCTACTCGAGAAAAAAAAATATTGTTATGCAAAGAAAGTATGCAAAATAGACAGAAAATGGAAGAAGGAAATTATGTACAATTATGCAGAAATGTGGTCAGCAATTATTCGATTCTATTTCTTGTAAGAACTTACTAATACCTAAATGATTCAAAACATATTGGACAAAAATTTACGCACGCAATTATCATGCTACATATATAAGAAAACAACTAGATCTGGGAGAAAACTTTGATTTTATCCAAAAGTTCAAGCTAAGTTCATGGTCAGGTATTTTACTACCCTTGAAGCCAAGTCATATGAGTTTAGATCATTCCTTTTTCTTTGAATCTATCAAATCCAAGATTGAGGATCCAGTTATCAGCAATTTAAAAACCTTCGCCAAACCTCATGGAAAACATCAAGAGCAAATGAAAATTATGCTAGGTGCATGTTGGCTGATCATGCCAGACGAAATCATGGCATAACAACTGTATTGTCAGTTAAACCATAATGTAAGGTTAGACTACTTTTAACAGAGAACTTACATGCTTTTCTTATTCAAAACTTGATGGAAAATCTGAACTACTTTCGGGAGCACTCCGCTTCATTTGATGATTATCACTGCTAATCTGATTACTATGTAATATTTGGAATCTGAAACCAAGTTTAGACATTTCTTTAGAATCAGAGCTGGATGTGTCTGGGCCTTGCTAGCCCCGAGGATATGGTCACTAGATCATTTGCAGGGAAGAAAATTTATATTGATCGTCCCACCTCTGAAGCAACTCATCTATCACGTCTTAGCCTGTGAACTTAAACTCATAATGGTGGGGATTGCCTAAGCTGGCCGGGGCTCATTGTCATTGCCCTCCATAGATGCCTTTCCATGTTTTCTAGACTTCTAGTACTCGGCTCAACAATTACGAACACCTTTAGTTTCCCGACTCTAATTAAGTAGGTGTTGGCATATTTCTATGTCATGGCTGTGGTCACGGTGATGAGCATCATATTTCTTTGGTCAAGTAGATAACTGCTGACCCTTATTAGTGACAGTTTCTTGAGATGTTTTGTATTTTGAATGACCTCAATTAGTTCTGTCATGGAGACTCACCAGGGAGCCGTAGGTAGTGACCTCACTTGCCAGATTTCGTCACGTTGGGTTTCCTCGTAACACATTTGCTTCTCAAAAAAGCGAGCTCTCTTTTGATTAGGGAAGCATCTTTTTTGTTCTTACCTGACAAACAATCATCCTCTCTCCATAGATTACAGAATCTCTTCGGGCTCTGTTGCCTTTCAGTTTGCATGGCAGTGGAAGCACTGGCTTCGTAGTTGTACCCCCTTTGTGATGGTTTTAGTGTTAGTGAGCTCTAGTAACTTGCTTAGGGTCCTTGGTTGCTGAAGGCCAAAAGCATACTTGAAGGGACCTTCTCTGAGGACCGGAGCCATGTTGACCTTAAAAAAAGGTCTAAATCATTAAATGTGAGGAGCCAAAAAGCAAAAGCCACCCCATGTTTTCATACCAAATGAAATGCCATTAATGGGGGACTGTACTCCCACTCTCCTCAATTTTTATAAATATAAAAGAGATGTATCAGCAACAACGAAAAGAATGGGGCTTGCAGCTCCCATACGTGCGCTTTCCATAGGAAGACTTATTTTAATGTATAATAATAAAAATAAAAAAAACTAAATCCTAAAACTATTGCACTCCCTCACCCTTGATTCATTCTCTCAGACTCTCTCTCTCTCTCTTCGCTCTTGCTTTCTCCTTCCCCTTTTGGTTCAGCCCATGAGTAGTCGACGTCGTCGCCCCGCTGCCGCCAACCTGAGCCGCCACCGCCAACCTGAGCCATCGCCGACAAACTGAGCCGTCACCTAAGCCACCACCGCTAACCTGAGCCATCGCAAACAACCTATTCCATCGCCGACAACCTGAGCCGTCGCTGACAACATGAGTCGCCACCACCAACTCTCTCACCAGCGACACTGCCACCTTGATGAACTACCACCGTGTAGGCGCCGCCTCACCAGTCAACCACAAGTAGCCACCAACACATCAAAGCTCTCTGTCGGCCCAACCTACTGCACCTCACTGCTTGCTGGATAGCCTCGTCGATGCCTCCCGCCATCACGTTATTCACCTCATCTCGCCTGTCATCGCGCCACCACCATCTCCCTACTGGAAAGCATCTTGCTATCAACACATCATCCATCAGCATAGCTCGCCGAACCACTGCAAGTGTTGCGGTTGTCGCCGCCCGCCCTCACACCATCCACAACCAACCTAATTTGTCATACCACTGCCTCCTCGCTGTCATGCCACTACCAACTAATTGTCACCCCGCCTCACGTCATCATTGTTTTAGCCACCAGTCTGCTGGTGAACCACTGCTTCCACTCCAAAACCACTAACCTCAGGAATTGTCAACTACAGTTATCTTGCCATCTTTACTTCACCGATCGGCCCCCTCTCCAGGGTTGCCTGCCGCTGCAATCCTAATTTGTCGGATCACCACCGCCGCAGTATCAGATCTTTGAACTGCTGCCTGTCACTTCCGCCTGTCACTTCCGTCTTGTCGGTGGTGCCTCTTCCTCTCTCTACCTAGAGCCAAAAAAGGGACAAAAGGAAAATCAGAAATAAAAGAAAACAGAGAAAAGAAGAGGAAATAAAGAAGAATTATTGTGCTGCTTCACATCATCGTAGTCGTTGACATAGGTATGATACATTTCAGATCTATTGTATGTGTTTGGATGAAATTAAGTATTTGTATAACTTAGATTTGAGGTGGGAAATGTATGTGCTTGCTTGTGTAAAATTTTAAGTACGCGTACAATTGTAATTAGGGAGTCGGGAAAATATGTTGTAAATCCTTATCGAGGTGTTTGAAAACTCATACCGTGCTTTTCTTAGGGTCTGTTTGGGGCAGCTGTTGATTATTTATAATCTGCTGATATAATCTCCAGATTATCAGAATAAGCTCGCTTGTTGTTTGTGGCAGCTTATTCAGAACAGCTTACTGGCAGTTGTTGTTGGATAAATGATAATTCTGT